AGCAAGTGAAGTTCCAGTTGAGTATTTTATGAAACAACCAACCAACCCTGAGATTCTTCTTATCTCAATTTACTGTCAGCTTTGGTCCCTTTGTCTTTCTTCTTTCTTTTTTCTCTGTTACTTTCACCAAGACCTGTGCCTCACTAAGAGCAGTAAAACGAGCGAGGTGTTGGAATTATGTGCATGAGAAGCCATTACTAACAGTATTATAAAACAAATGGTAAAGGTAAAGGCCCTCCCGTTGATCGTCGATTTGCTCGAGCGGGCCCAGTAACGTCTCCATTGGAGACTTTGTTGTTACTGTGTCTGGCATATCGAATACTCTCGGTAGCTTGCCGGGCTCTCCGAGAGGAGCGGAGGAATCGAACTCGGGTCGGCCATGTTGGCCGCTTGTAAGGCGAACGCCCTACCCGCTGTGCTATCGCTCCAGCTCGTAATAAAACAAATAATCTCAATAAATTAAAAAAATTAAGCAGTAAAATGGAATCTCCTACATGTCCATCAGGATTAGCTCTAGGCTTTGGCAAATACAGCTTCTTGAGTAATCACCTGTCTTTATTCTATTCTAGCTGGTCTTTTATGTTTTGCACATTGGTTTTCTCAAAACAGTACAATAACCAATATACTTTAACACTCTAAAATAGTAGAGTTGAGGTTGGAGGGATACAGTTAAGTGGGTAAAGTGCTTGCCTTGCATTCAGCTGACCTGAGTTTGATCCCCAGTACCCTGTGTGATCCCTCAAGCCCTGCCAGAAATGACAAAGGAAAACTACCACAAAGATCCTTCACTGTGGGCAGGAAATCTCCCTGAACTTTCTCTGGATTTTACAGAGGTAGAGATAAAAGACAAACTCTACCATTCTTTCCTTCTGTTATACCCTTTTCCAGTGTTCTCAGCATTTACTAGTTCAACCCTTCTCAGTGCTGCTTGTCCAAATGTAGTTCCTTGTCTCTTGAAACTTGAAGAGCTGAGCTAGGAGTGAACCTTGAGCACCACTGGGTATGACAATAGAATAACTAACTAACTAAATAAATAAATGGTGTAGCTGGATGAGAACAAAGCAAGATACAAAGAGGGTCTTGGTTGAGGGTCATGTCCATTCACTTAATATTTTACTGAATACTTTTGTATATGAGGCATATTATATGTTTGGCACTAGGTTACAGAATAAAAAAATAAATAAACGTCACCCCCTTACATTAAGATACTGGCATTGCCAACATCATGTAATGGATCCGAATAAAGTCAGTCCTCAAATCTCTTAGAATATCTGCTCTGGATCAATTTCAATCTTTAAAGGCCCTCCCAAGGAGATTTGGTGTTCTGGACAATATTTTAAATAAAAAAAAATTAAAATAGGCATATCTCTTTTGACAGTATGGTTACCATTAGCTTAGTATTCCTTAGACATTGGAATTTTCTTACCACATTTGTAAGTTAGCCAAACAAATTTTACTCTCCTTATTTTCAAAAATGATGGCCAAGGTCACATACAGTTTTGAAACCCAGCTCTGACTTCAGCACTCTTAATCTCAGTTAAGAACTCCAGATACACAGACGTCTTTGCCCAAACCACATCTATGCCTCCTAAACCATGTTCTCCAGGAAATACAGGTAGAGGGGAGCATGCAAGTGACATAAATATCAAGTTCAGTTCTAAAGACAGTTGCTGATTTAGAGAACTGAAGCTTAGTAACCTAACTCTGAAAAACCTTAAGAGAAACATTCCTCTAGAATATTTCAGCTCTAAATAATATTTCAGCTCTTCAGAAAGCATATTAAGTCCCCAACTCTACCCCTGTTTTGTTTATTTGTAATTTGATGGAGGGAAACACACCTGGTGGTACTCATGGCTTACTACTGGCTTACTACTTACTACTGGCTCTGAGTCCAGGAATCACACCTGGTAGGCTCAGCAGAAGATGCGGAATCTGGGATAACTGTGTCCATGGCCCTACTTCTTCTGTGTTATTGCTCTGGCCCTTACTCTACCCCTGATTTATTGTTACTTCCATGGGTATGACTCCTCAAGACCCCTGGCTAGCCCTGTGTATCTAGGGAATATACACTCAAGACAAGAACATACCCTCAAGACACTCCAACAAAGCCTAATGGAGGAGGCCTTACTGCAAGGACAGCCAACATCCTTCTAAGTTTAGAGGTCAGAGGTAGGAAACTGGAGTGAGGACAGCCTGTATCATACCCTGCCTTTTCAAAACCACAGCTGATTGCAGGGAGTGGGTACATTCAGGGCAGAAAAGTACTGCTGCGGCTCAGTTTAGTGACTGCCTCTCCTGAACTTCCCTTCAGTTAGATGGAGGCATGTCCATGGTCCTGAATCGGCCATTCAGGCTTTCCAGTAGTTCTTTGGACTGTGCTACACTCTTAACTCCTATTTCCCCTCCCCCAGTAAGAGCATTATTGATTTGCATTCTCTCTCAATGAGCATTTTACAATTTTTAGGTTATCTCTATGCAAAAGAAACATTTTTCCATTTTACCATGTACGATGTGCAGAGCTGATATGATGTAGTTTTAGAAAATCCTAATTTCTTTTCAAAAAATTCCTAGAGAATTTAGAGAGGGTGTGCTAGCCCTATCTTTAAAAACTCCTCACTCAGCTTTTGGAATGCCTGGCCACCCCCAAATACTTCCCCAATCACAAAAGCAATATTTTTTTTAAAAAAAGAAGAAGACGAAGCAATTTGTGGTCTCTCTAGTGTTCTGGAAGTCTCTGCTTCTATGCAAGCCAAATGAATCATCTTTCTCACCCTTTCTTCATTTCACTTGATGTAGAAAGATCTGTATCACAGTTTATCAATGTGGAATTCTCCTTGGGCTTTACAGATATTAAATAATTCTGTGCTCACCAGATGAATCACATGAACAAAGAAAGAGAAGGCAGAAAGTAGATGAGAAAATTGCACAGCATTTTCTCTGGTTTCTTATTTGGTCCTGGTTTATTTTTCTTCAGAAAACTTTCCTGAAGTAGACTAAGTACTTTACTATTAGTGTATTTCAGTTCCTTCTAGCTGCCATATTAGAATGAAATTTCTAAGAATGAAAGTTCTTTATTTTTGTTTTAGTTTTGCTCAATATTACATCCAACCACATAAAGAGGATCTAGCATAAAATAAGGACAGACTGGATGCCTTTAAGTGGATTAAATCTTCTGTGCTGCAACTCCTAGGGTCCATTCAGATGTGCTAATAGAGACAAAAGGTCAGAAAGAAGAGAGGAAGGGAGGTGGGGAGAGGAACGCATAGGAATTTGGTAGCACCTTTCCAAACATTTTGAATCACTCTTTATTTTATCTTCTCATAATCCTGAAAGTGGTTTCACCACTTCTTAGGATAGAGAGGAGAGTCTAGGTGTGACTCTCCTGTCACACTTGCTCTTCTGAATCCATCCTGGTAGTTCTGTGAAATCATCTGCCAATTCAAGAACAGTAACTATCTGGGGCTGAAGAAATATAGTAAAGGGGTAAAGGTAATTGCCTGGCATGCAGTTGACCTCCATCCCGCCCCCTGCATCACCTCTGCCAGGGATAACCCTTGAGGCCACTGGGATGGCCTGAGTGATTTCAGAAGCTCAAAGCCTAAATAGCACCATAATCCCCAGGCTTTAGCATTGAACTGTTTGCCTTACTGGCCTAGAATCCCTAGGAGGGATCACTGAGTTCTTGAGCACCACTTAGGAGAACCGAAAAATATTTTTATAAATAAATGAACAAAAACTGTAACCATATTTGTCATTGACAAACTCAGTTTTAAAACTCAATTTTGTCCTTTACTAACTGTGAGAGCTGGGTCCAATCTCTTTCTTCTCCTTGCCTCTTTTTCCAAATGGGAATCATTGCATGAAACCACGCTTACACAAAGAATACCTTTGTAAAGGCAATTCAGTAAAAATTACTCAGGCTGTATTAGAATTCAGTACCTGCCCATTTCATCTCTCTTGCTTCATCCTTCCAAGGTTTTAGTCAGACCTGTAGCCTTCCAAGATTAGTTCTCCAAGGGGGCTCAAAAGCCTGGTTTCAGTCACACAGTAAATGCTCAGAAGAGGAACGCTAGCATGAGAAAGCTTCAGTCAATGCAGAAAAGTTTGGGAAAGGCTGTGGATTGATAATAAATGACCTGTCTATGCAAGGCCCAGCTTCCCATGTTTCACTTTTATTTGCAATGGACCACATCAGCATGGCTTCCTGTTGGCAGTCATTATGCCTGGCAGAGCTGGCATGATGAAGGGGGACATATTGCTCTCACAGCTACAAAGCCTTGCTGGACATAGGACCCGAAAGTCAGTCTTCAGGTGCTGGAGGGATACTATACGAGTTAAAGCACTTATCTTGCTCCTGCCTACTCTGGCTCTATTCCTGGCACTGCATACAGCTCATGGAGCACTGTGATAGTGATCTCTGAGTACAAAGTGAGGAGTCCGTCCTGAATACCACCAGGTATGACACACAAATAAAATAATCAGACTCAGATACCATGAGGTCATTGCTTCCGGGCCTGGTGGTTCTGAGTTGAAGGGCGTAGCAAGTAAAAATCTAGGTGCCCAGGGGCCAGTTGACATGACAACTTGAATTCACACATCACACAGATGTTTGAGCTTGAAGAAGATTGTGATTGGAGCTTATTCTTACAATATTTGAACAATAGGTAGCTGCATACAATAGGGCTTAGATGCCTGCCAAGCAAAGCATGGAGGAAGGATGGAAGGAGTGTGGCATCTCTTTCCTTGGGATATGAGAGTTTCAAAATTAGGAATGAAGAATGCTAGATTTGAATTCACTGCACCTTTGAGGCACATAACTCCCCAATTTTTTAAGCTTCTCTTTTGTCCATATAAATGTCCCGATCTCCCCCAGGCTCCTTGCTTGTATGTAGAAGGTTTGGAATTCCAAGGGGACGAACTCCTGGCTCTTCAAGCTGGCATTAAGTCCAGCTTGAGAATTAGCTTGACTCTCACCTTGCCTCTTTTACCCTTGCCCCCAGGAAACAACAGCCTCCTGACATGCATGCAGGATGGCCTGTGGTCCTTTCCAGAAGCCCTGTGTGAGCTCATGTGCCTAGCTCCACCCCCAGTGCCCAATGCAGACCTCCAAACCGCCCGGTGCCGAGAGAACAAACACAAGGTGGGCTCTTTCTGCAAGTACAAGTGCAAACCTGGATACCACGTGCCTGGCTCCTCCCGGAAGTCCAAGAAGTAAGTGGGGCATAGGTTCCAGGGGAGATGACTCAGTTCTGACTTATTTTTTCAAGGAAGAGCTTGTTTCTTTGCTGGAGCTGATATCCACTGTTGAAATAATTCTGTTCTGTGAGGTCACTTCCCTGAGCTTCTAGTTCCCAGCATAGGATAGGAACATATGCGTGGCTACCACATTGGGATTACTGTGAGATGTAAAGAAGGATGTATATATTAGTGCCTGCAAAGATCCTGGTACATGGGGAAGACTCAATCAGTAGTATCTGTATCATCTCTGTGCCAACACCCATCTGGATTCTGGAAAGAAAGATGGGTCAAAGATGTGCGTAATTTGACTTTTATTCCAAGCCACTTAGAATGAGAGAATGACTTGAAGCACTGGCTTTCCCCAGTGGAAGTGATCCCTTTGTTTGTTTCTTTGGGGTCACACTTGGCAGTTTCCAGGGTTTACTTCTGATTCTCTGCTCAGGATCACTCATGGTGGTGCTCAGGGGATCATATGGGATGCTGGGGAAGGGATTCAGGGAAGCTGTGTGCAAGGCAAGCACCCTACCTGCTGTACTATTGCTCTGGCCACAATTTTATGAATTTCTCTTAGTCCTTAAATATGTGACACATACTCCTCAACCACCTAGTGAGACAGAGAATGGGAATGGGAAATAAGAGGTTTGCTGATTCCAGAATAGGCTGAGTATGCTAGTAGGACATGGATATAAGCAAGGAAATGTGATGCTAGATTTATCCCTCCCCCCCCCCCCCATTCTTCAAGACGGGCCTTCAAGACTCAATGTACCCAAGATGGCAGCTGGCAGGAGGGAGCTTGTGTTCCTGTGACTTGTGATCCACCTCCAGCAAAATTCCATGGGCTCTACCAGTGCACTAATGGCTTCCAGTTCAACAGCGAGTGTAGGATCAAATGTGAAGACAGTGATACCAACCAGGTAAGACTCCTTGAACATGTGTTCCTCTCCTCTATGCTTACCCCAAACAAACTTATATTGTAAGAACCTCTTCTAGACATTCTCTATAGATGCCAGCTTTGTCTAATAGTTATACCACCAAAGCCAAAGTGAAAAACTAGTTTGAATGATCTTCCTTTGTGATATCTGTGAGTTTTGTTTTTTTCTCCCTATAAAACCATGTTTTATTTGTTCAGAGATTCTTAGAATTGAAAAAAAGTTTAGTATTGGAACTCTTACAAAGGAAATTCATGTGTAGGATCCCAGGATATAAAATTGATCAAAGTTGAATTTAAGCTGACAGAAATGACCAGGGCTGTTTTCTTTCTACCCCCGTCACCTCCTAAGTTGAACTCTAAAAGTATTTGAAATTATAAAACTCCCATGATCTTTAGATAGCAACTGACTCCTCAAGTTTCAAGAGACAAGGAACTACATTTGGACTAGTAGTGATGAGAAGTGTTGAGTATGGACTAGCCATGTTGAGAACACTGAAAAAGAGAAGAACACTGTAGCACTGTCCTCCCGTTGTTCATTGATTTGCTCAAGCAGGCACCAGTAACATCTCCATTGTGAAACTTGTTGTAACTGTTTTTGGCATATCGAATATCCCACAAGGAGCTTGCCAGACTTTGCTGTGCAGGTGGGATACTCTCCGTAGCTTGCTGGGCTCTCTGAGAGGATAGAATGGCAGAGTTTGTCTTTCATCTCAGCCTCCGGGAAATCTAGAGAAAGTCCAAGGAGCTTTCCTGCCCCTGATGGAGGACCATTGTGAGAGTTTTCCTCAGTCACACAGTACAATAGGGATTTTAATGGCACCAAGAATGGGCAAAGAAGGTGAGGGATCAGCTGTCTCCAAGATGCCTAAGTGCAAGAGGATCTTCTCCTTGACAATCATCTATGTGGGTCTGATGAGTCCATGAATCCCAGGATTCAGATGTCATCAGCCAGGTGAAGCCAATGTGGATCCAGTGATATCTGGTCCTTATAGGCCTTTCTCAGCACCTCTCAGATGCCAGGCACCACCAGAGCATCCTCTGTAACTCCAGTGGCTGCTCCCCACATCCAGACTACAACCAGGTCCCACCTACAACCATTCTCTTCTATTCCCATTACCCTGCCCTGAGTCACATCCTCGGCCTTTGCTAGGCCACCACACAGCCTCAGGCTCACCTCCCTGCCTTTATTCTCTTGCCTTTCTCCAGAATATTTCTTCACATTTCTGCCAGAGTTCTTTGCTGAGCACAATATATCTGATCATGACCAGTCTTCAGATAAATGTCCTTCATAAATCCCATCATCAGAGGAAAGGATCTAGTTCCTTAGTGTACTTTTCACACCCTTTAACCCATCAGTTGGAATATGAATCTCCCTGGATTGTCAACCTGAAAGAGCTCCTCTCACTTTTCCCAACTGCTTCACTCTTCATCAGCTCCATAATTCAGCCAAGTACCCCTTTACTGCAGTTCCCTCCCCTGTGGGGCCCCCTGCATACCCTCGGGGTTTCCCCTTCATGTTGTTGGCTACGCTGCATTGCAGTTCATTTCCAATCCCCACTACTAAGCCATGAAATCCTTCACTGTGTTTTTAATCTGACCTGTGTTTTCATCACTTGGTATGGGGCCAAGCTCTCACATAGCAGTGCTCTGAAAGTGGAAGGAGCTGAGAAAGGGCCGTGAGGACAGAGAGGTTGTTGAACCAGATAGGGTGATACACAGTGTGGGTATGGTCTGAATGTCAGTGCATTTCCCCCTGCTCCTCCTTATCCCAAGAAATAAACAGACTGTATCCGATAGGTACTACCTGAAAATCCTTTATAGCGAACACACACGGATGCCTGAATACTGGAGTCATTCTCATCCCTTGCTGCCAGGGAAGCAGAAGCCAGAGCCGGAACAAGCAATGGCCAGGGATTACCATGGCCTCACGCAGGCGGATCAACTTCACTCTCATTCCCTTGCATAAAACTATTGCGAACAGTTAACCAAATGGCTGAGCCAAATAATATTCTGGCCATGGTCATGTTATCAAACTGAAACCCAGTCTGCCTGAGGCCTGCCAAGTATCTTTCATGGCCAGTTTGTATTTAAAGGAGAGGAAAATGTAAATTTGTCAGACGACTCAAGGAGTTCTCTCTGGTAACTGGCAGAGAGGCTGGATGCAAAGGAACTGGGTATTACTTGTCAGCTCAAAGAATGAGGGAGTGTATGCCAAATGGGCTCCTAATACGATTGACGTTTCTAGTTTGTACAGAAAACGAATTTCCTCTGCCCTCAGACCAGCGGCCCGAGAGTATTCACCTCAGATCCCCTCTTGCTGCCTGTAAACATAGCAGAAATGTACGGCCCCGGAGCATCTTGAATCAAACAGCTTGTATGGAGCAGGAATGCTTTGCTTTTCAAACAAGTTCCAGATCCTGGCAGGAAAAGATGTGAGCTATTGTAGGAAAGACTCACACTTTCTCTCCCACTGAAAGCAAATGAACAAATAACCACCACTTCATTCATTCCTTGAGAGCCAGTTAGATTCTGAGATTGAATCTTGACTCCACCCCCTACTAACTGAAGGATGTGAATATTTAACCCTTTAACCTTCAGTTCCCTCATGTATAAAATGGGAGACAAGGGAGCAGGAAAACCATGCTATGTCTCTCCTAGTTTATGTGTGAGAATTAAGTAGAGTTAAAAAGAGGTGTAAGAGTGTTCTCTGTGGAATTGTGCAGTACATCTATGGCAGCCCTAGCTGAGGAAAGCACAAGTGAACTAGTCTGCTTTTTTTTTCTTTTTTTTTTGAGTTTTGGGACCATACCCTGTAGTATTTGGGACTGATGCCTGGTTCTGTGCTCAGAGCTCACTCCTGGCTGCTCAGGGGACCATATGTGCTGTTTGTAATCAAACTGGGGTCATCCACAAGCAAGGCAAATGCTCCACTCCTGTATTATCTCTTTAGTTGAAACTAGCCTGTTTTTAATGTCACCAATAATGGAAAGAATCCTTAATGCTACTTGTGGGTTCCTCTATAATCCAGAAATAAAGGCAGTGGTTGAATGTCAGCCCCCTGCCAGTAGCTCCTCCTCAAAAGTCAGCGAAGGGACAAACCATCATTGAGGTCTGGGTCTGTGTGGTAAAACTGGTGTAAATCACAAGAAACCTGTTTTCTTGCTCAGATAAACCAAGAAAAGATATAAATTCTCCAGACTACCACTTTCCATTGTAAATTTCTATTGTGATGAAACAGTTCCTTACCTGATCAAAGCATTATGGGGCCCCTAGTCAAGTTTGGCAACAGAGCACTTGAAATGTGGCTTAAAAGAGTGAGCAGCTAAATAAGAGACTATTTCATTGTAAATGGCTCACATTTAAATGTAGATGGCCACCCTTGCATAGTGGCACCATCTGGAACCGTCCAGCTCTGGAAATCATAGCACATTTATCTCTGTAAACAGAGCCTTGGTGATTAAAATTTTTTCCTGGATGCCAAAGTGCAACAGACAGTTTCACTTGGACAACTCACAGTACACCTTTGAGAAAGGTGAAAGAAACCCAGGGTGTGCAATTCTTACCCATGGTTGCAAGTTTGTACATGGGGTTGCCTGATTCCACAGCCCCTGCCTTGGGACGTTCCAGGGGTAGGCTGGTGGCAAAAGGTGGGAATTCCTTGTCCAACTCTGAGGGAGAGGTGCTAATTGTCCCAGCATTTAATCCAGTTCAGATACTCCTGAGCAGTCTGAGGATTGGATAACTCAGTGTCTGAGATGGCATGTGGGAATTTTGTGGGTGATTAGGAGAGTGGGTAGCCTAATCTTTGCATTGGTACAGCCTAATCTTTGATTTGTAAGAGATGCAGCCACAGGGCTTACAGAAAAAAGGAAAAATCCAAAAGTGCTTTGTGGAGAAAATAATGTTCCAAAGGCAGATTTCAGCAGTGGAGCAGGAAGGAGCAAAAAAGGAAGAGGAGAATGAAGCTTAAGGGGGGATCACTAGGCTGGATTCCAGGGCTGTGCCTCCAGTAACCTGCAACTGACTCTGCCTCTGAGCTCTCCTTTGGACCCAGTAGAGCTCTCCTAGGTGCAGTGCCTCTCTGTGCAAGGACATCTTGCAGTTTCCAAATTGCCACGTGCTTGCTCAAGCATCCTGGGCTTCCTACCAGCAGTTAAAATGATGCAGACCTATGTGTGTTAGAACTGGGCAAGACCTCAAACCCTGCACTGCAATCTTTTTATTCTATGGAGCCTAGAGAAGGAAAGGACTTACTCCAAATCCATACAGCAAATTGCCAAAACTTGCCTCTCTTTATAGTTAAGATTGATTGAGGTGACATTATTTATAGTGTGTAAATCATGATTGTTTTAAGGAGAACGTATTACACTACCCACTGTCTTTGGTACCTCCAAAGTACCAGTGTTCCTTCACCACTGTCCATAACACCTTTCCCTACCATTTCCCCTAGGATTTGCCCTTAAACAATTCAAGTCTCCCAATTAAGTATTTGCTCAAACCCTGGTTTTCTGGCCAAGCTTACTCTTGTGACTTCATGCCATCTTTGTATCTACTTAAAGAAAACAGAACACTTGTGAGGGTATTGAATGGGGATCAAGGTCACTAGCAACAGTCAGAGTTCATTGATCATTTGCTAGAAGCCAATCTATGGGCTAATCAGACATAGGGTGTGGAAGTGGGGAGCAAGATAAATGTAGTGGCAAGACTCAGGACGAGACATGGGATGGGGGGGGTGAAGAGAGAGAGGGAAGAGGTAGAGAGTGAGGAGAGAGACAGAGAGAAGAGACAGAGAAAGAGAGAGAGAGAGAGAGAGAGAGAGAGAGAGAGAGAGAGACTGGAGACAAGCAGAACAGTGCCTTGATGCTCTCACCTTCTGCAGTGAAGCCTCTCCAGTTTGAACTTTCCTGAGCACATTCTAGCTCATTCGAATACATTCTCTACTGCAGACCCAGCTCCTCAGCCAGCCAGCTCTGGCCCACAATGTGCTGAGGTCTGCAGCCCTTCAGGGGCTGGAGGCCAAATGCATCATAGGCCCAGGCCAAGGCTCCAGGAAATTGGGGTCAATTTCTTTCTCCCCTGAGGGCCCAGTGGAATCATGGGGCCTGAGGCTTGGGGCTCTGAGAGGGAGAGTCAGAGTTCCCTGAAGTCATGTGAAACTTTCCCTAAACTTTCCCTGAGCTCACACAGAAACTCTTGAAGTGCACTCTGCAAAGCCCTCAGCAGCTGCGTGCTTAGGATGGTCCACCCTTCTCTATGACTACAGAGGTTTCCACTGTACCACAGTCCTCTTCATGCTGGCCTAGGAGAGGCCCAGGAAGGAGCAGGGTAGGGGGTGTCTTTTGCTTCTATATCCTGTCTCCTTGCAGCTGTTCTCTCAGCAGGAAAGCTTCCGCCTGCATCAGCCCTTAGAAAAACTTTGTTCATTTCCTCATCATGCAATCATTGATTAATTTCTTCACTTATGTAATTTATTCATGTATTCATCTATCCATTTGCTTTATCTTCTTGTTTGTTAAACAGATATATTCTATAACTCTCTTTCTGTCTATGCCATATTGTGTTAGACAGTTCTTGGAAGAACAAAATAATGAATGAATGGGTCGACCAAGTGGTGGGGACCTTTGAAGTGTTAGGGAAGACCCTGAGGACACAGGATTAATAGGGTTTCTTGTTCTAGGTGGCAAAAGAGGCAAAGAGGCAATGTGTGTCAGAGAACTCTAGAGTACTTGTCTCTGCATAACTGGTTGGCACTTGTTTGTGTCAGAGAAGGTGTTTGTCTGATGGATGAGTGTAGGGTGGAAACATGGCAGATAGAAAGAGCAAGAGCACAGAAGAATGAGAGTGTGAAAGAGCATTCAGAACACTTCAGAACACTTGCAGTCAAAGTTGAAGTTGAAGGTGGGCTGGTGGAACTGAAGCAGGGAAGCACAGGGCAGAGTGAAGGATGGGAAGGTTTAGAATGGAAGACGAAGAGAAGAGCGTACTGTGAATTTTTTGCATGGGTGTAGCATGCTTAACTTATCAGTCATCAAGTAGATTTTATCTTCTTATTAGTTTGAAAGAGTTTGAATGTAGACCTTGTTGCCAGGAAGAAGGACTTCTGTGCAGAAATCCTCTAAACATCCTAATTGTCCACATTAAGTCCAAAGTCCATAAATTGACCTTGAAAGCCCCATTCTTTCTTTTCCATACCAGCTCACCTTCTCTTCTTCCTTACTAATTCCCAAGACCACAGACACACAAGACTCTCTGAACTGTCCACAGCCAGGAATATCCTTCTACCCCTGTTCTACTCCGAAGAGTCTGCATCCTTGAAAACTCCCTTCCACCATTTCTCAAAGAGATTTTCCCTATCCCTCATACCTGGGTACTCCCCCCAGGTGCATCCTACTGACAGGACTGACTGTTCACCAGACTCTTCTTTTATGTTCCTGTCTCTGGCTCAATAATGGAAAGATAGGGCTCTCTTTGCATGTGAACCCCAAGGAACTACACACTAAGAAATGGTTCTTGATGACAGTTCCGAAATTCTCATAAAATTTGTCCTTCTCATAGAATCTCTGGCATTGAAAAGAACAGGTATGCAAGAAACCTTTAACCTACATCTTACAAAAGTTGAAAACTGCATTTCAACAAATGAGACCGGGAGGGGTAAACAGATGAACAAACCAAGCAAATCAAAGGTGCATCCAAAGATTCTGACAACAGAATGATAGGAGCAAGAGGGAAAGAGCTTGAGAGTAGCTGATGTGGTGGTTAAGTGTATGGTGCATATGGAAATTAGACTTGTGCTGGTATTGTATAATGTATTGTACAATGCTGCTTATACAGATGTCAAATAATAGAGTTGTGTACCAGAGAGATAATAACAGATGTCATGTGTCCATTCACACTTCAACCCATGGAACTGTATATGGTTCCCTGTGCACTACCAAGAGTGATCCCTGAATGCAGAGCCAGGACTCAGCTCTGGGCACTGCCAAAAGTGGCTCCAAAACCCAAATAAGTAGATAAAGCTGCAGACCTGAAATATATGTAATGGTATAAACCAGTGTCCTTTCAATAACAACTTTCAGGGAAATAAAGAAGACCATTTTCATAATAGAAACACGGTGCTGGGATACAAAAGTATCCCACATTGGTGTCATTACTGATGGAATGGAATAGGAAGAAATGAAATCAAAATGAATGAAGTGGAATGGAAGGAAATACTGTAGTGGAATGGAGTGGAATATAATGGAGTGGAATGAAGTCAAATAAAGTGATGTGGAGTGGAATAAGACAGAGTGAAACATAATGAAGTAGAGTAGAATGGAATGGATTGGAATGAAGCAGAATAGATTGGAGTAGAGTGGAGTGACATGGAATGGCATAGACTTGAATGGAATAGAAGAGATGACTGGAGTAAAATGCATTAAAAGAAAGGAAGGAGGGAAAAGAGAAAGGGAGTGCTCAAAAGAACACTTATCAGGATCAGAGTTACCAGGTTAGCTGGCAGCTTTCTCATTGACTTGGAAGAAATCAGCTTTGGTGCACATCTGCCTCACCACTAGGTATTCCAGGACCCATGCTCTTACCCATGGGGTGATTTGGAGTCATTTAAGTCCCTACTATTTTAGTTGAAAAACACAACCAACAAGCAAACAATTTGTTTCAGTTTGAAACTTCTGAAAGAACACTAATCTTGAATTGAGAAAACCATAGAGACCGGCTCTTCAGGTAGCCGTGCCCAAGCTTTTTGGGTGAATCCTCAGTTTCCCTATCTGCAAAATGAATTTATTCATAAAGCCTCTATTTCAGGGTGCTTGGGTTTTCACCATCAGGAAGAAAGTGCCCTGGAACAGTTCAGAGCTCTGGGGAGATGAGATTCTGTCTCTGTTTTTGAGAAGGTGATCTGAGATTGGGAGCTTGGATATTCCTCTTCCTCACTGTGCTTTCTTGTTTCTTAGGGACGCGGGAGCAACATCATCCACTGCCGGAAAGATGGCACCTGGAGTGGCTCCTTCCATGTCTGCCAGGAGATGCAAGGCCAGTGCTCAGCTCCAGACCAGCTCAACAGCAACCTCAGGCTGCTGTGCCCTGAAGGCTATGCCATAGGTATGATAGCTTCATGAGGACAAGCAGTGGGAGGGACACATCCTTCCAGGAATTCAGGGCTAATTCCACTCTGGGTCACCAGGTACCTCTACCACAGGATGGTTTTGTTTTCATTTGTTTGGCTTTTGGTTCACACCTAGCCAGTGTTCAGGGCTTTATTCTCCTAGCTCTGTGCTCAGAGGTCACTCCTGGTGGTTCTTGGGAACAAGATGTGGTGCTAGGGATCAAATCAGGATCAGCTGCAGTACAAAGTAATCCCTTCATTAGCTCTCCAGACCCTCGAGAGAAAACAGGATGAAGGAGACCAGAGTCTAAACTCCAGAGAAGAGTTCAGAATATGGGTGTTGGGCCAGCAGTGGTTGGTGAGTGCATTTATACTGGAATACAGACAAGAAGACAAGTGCCTCAAGGAACATACAAATCCCAGAGGAAGGGAAACTCATGGGGATTGAATTCATTCATCGTATTTAGAGAGGCGATCAAGATCCATTTACTATCCAGCTTAAACTTTGCATAACATAAGCCATTCAAAAGTACCTAGAGGCCAGGTTCTGTATCAATTAGTATGTTGGGGTCACCTCAAATTGTAGGGGGGGACAACTCTTTGCTTAGTGCTCAGGAATCATTCCTGGCAATACTCAGAGCAGCATGCAATGCTGGGGATCAAACTCTGGATTCCCACATGCAAATCCTTCACTGTAGCCCTTTGAGGCATCTCCTCAGCCGTCATCCAGCTCATTAGCAACTTTCCTCATTCTCTCAATAATCTCCAGCAGATGAGGATATTAATGGGATAACGCATCACGTCCCAAATCCTGACACCTCTCTGACGCCAAATTGACTTCTTTCCATGGCATCTAGGTTGCCTCCCAAATGAAGATAAATGGCCTTTTCAAAATATTGTGTGTATGCTGATAGGCCAGCTCACGGAGTGCTCACAGGGAGGTGCAGATCACATGGGGTTGGATACCAGGTCACTGCCTGGTGGAACCAGTGTCTGGACAGATCTGTCAGTCTCTGGCTCCCAGGCTTTCAGGAGAACTGGGCATGCATTGAATCTGACCTCAGCTGAAGGGAGTGACACTGACCCCTTGGGTTGATTCCCTAATTGACCATGATGAAAAGCCTGGGGAATTGGATGTCCTTTCTCAGGGCCAGTGTGATTTATGAGAGAGTCACCAGGGATGTCTGGAGCAAGAGGTTATCTGAGCACACACTCACTCCCAACCACCCAGAGCTGATGTGTTCTTCCACCAGAAAATAAGAGTTATCACCTCCCGCCCAGGAGCAAGTCCAGAGTTGGAAAGTACAGGCATGTGGGGCCAGTCCACCTCTTTTGGAAGATGGAGACACAAGTTCAGGGGCAGAAGTTACTCAACTCAGTGTAGAGCAGGAATCTGGGCTCTTGCATCTAGCTCTGGGACACATTAGTCCTGCGGGGGTAAGAAAAATGCCCATGTGCTTGACTGTTCTCTCTCTCTCTCTGTTTCTCTCTGTTTCTCTCTCTCTCTCTCTCTCTCTCTCTCTCTCTCTCTCTCTCTCTCTCTCTCACTCTGTCTCTGTCTCTGTCTCTCTCTCTCTCTCTCTCTCTCTCTCTCTCTCTCTCTCTGTGTGTGTGTGTGTGTGTGTGTGTAGGGCAGGAGAGGTCAGAGTGTGAAAGGGTGGTTCTTTGTTTTGCAAAGACCTCCCAAGTGGTGCTGAGGAGGCCCCAAGAACTCTTCCTGGTGATTCTCAGCCAATCAGAATAGCAGTTCAGTGGGAGGGCCAGAGTCTATGTTGTTGCTCTGACTTGCCCAGGCCACTCTGATGCTAGGCAAATGCTTAGGGACCTTCAGGGCTTCACCCAGCCATACACATGAGACCATGTTGTGCTGGGGATCACGCCAGGGTTGGCTGCATGCAAGGCATGTGTCTTCACCTTGTACACACACACTCTGTCTCTCTCTCTCTCTCTTTCTCTCTCTCTCTCCCCCCCCCCCCCGCCATCCCCCTGGTTGTTCTCTTGCTGATGATTCCAAAGATACTTTATGATCTTAAAGAAACCACCCATTGAAAAGAGTGTAATTTGAAGGGATTCAGAGGGTTTGAGTCTGGGAGGGCTTGCTGATATAGACATTCTGGAAGGTTGAAACCATGTCGAGTGCTGCTGACATGGCAGTACTATCCCCAAACTAAGGCTTTCTAACCTTCCTTATTCCTGATTAGAAGTGGGGGGAGGGTGGCACTTAAGACAGAGGGGCTCAACTGCACATTCAACCAGAATTTACAAGTGAGTGTTCCATCATCTGCATAGTTGGCACTGAGAGCCCTGGGAGGACAATGTAGATTAAGTAATTTAGATTTAAAAAAAAAAACCATAAAAGGAGACTTCCTGTATGTCTTCGTCCACTGGACCTGCCAGTATAGTCTTACAGGCACAGACAGCAAGAAACTGGCTTTGGATCTGAGGGAAAGTACAGTGGGTAGGGCACTTGCCTTGCATGTGGCCAACCCAGGTATGATCCCTGGAACCCCATATGGTTCCTTGAGCCTGCCAGGAGTGATACCTGAGCACAGAACCCAGAGAGCACGTCCTGAGCACAACCAAGTTTGGCCTCCGCCCCCCAACTCCTCGACTACCACTCACACAGAAATAGACACCAGAGACCCAGACATACAGCATTCTATAGAAACCTCATGATTAGCCCATACAAATAGCCCATGACATTGCCCATTCAAACACCTACACATAGAGCTTACACAGAGCACCCCCAGCAGCAATGCCTAGGTATACACACACCAGGCATGCACATGCAAAGATATGCAAAACGGAAGCATGGCTGACACATGCACACAGATACTCAGACACACTTTTGGGACACACACTGCATCTCTGTGACTTAGCCACCACTGCTGGAAGAACAGACCAGCCCAGCTGTTCATTCTCAGAAGAGTCTAGAAAGGTGAAGGATGGGGAGGGGTGCAAGTGGGGACAATGACATCCCTCTGCCCTGGAGCTGTTTTTTGGTTAAAGCTGAGTATGACTTTGATCTGTATCTTATTAGTTCTAATCCCCTTCCCCTTTCTGGTCCCTCCCATTGTTCTCATTGCCCTGCAGGTCCCTGCCCTTTATGAATATTGTTTCCTCCTATGGGGAAACAAAGGGAAGAAAAGTATCACTGGACACTGAGGTTAACAAGTAAACTAGCCTCTGTCTGCATCTCAGGCTGAATCTCTCTCAGGGCTGAAGAGTTTGTTCAAAGGCTTTGCCAACAGGAGTGCATGGCAAAGTGGGGTGCAGGGAAAAGAGGCCTGAGGGCTGGAGCACATTCTGGAGCCCCTCCTAGCACCCCACAGCAGCTCACTGTGTGCCCCTACCCAAGCAGCATGGGCAATTAGAAGTCCCCAAGCCAAAAGCTCCCCCCCCCCCCCCCCCCCCCGCGTGGCTGTCCTCCTCTTGATAGAGCTGGGTGAGCTCACCACTCTATAAGGCTGCCAGCTAGAGCTCTTTTTTTTTTTTCTTTCTTTGGGTCACACCTGGAGATGCACAGGGGTTACTCCTGGCTCATGCACTCAGGTATTACTCATGCGGTGCTCAGGGGACCATATTGGATGCTGGGAATCAAACTGGGGTTGGCCTCGTGCAAGGAAAACACCCTACCCACTGTGCTATTGCTACCTCCCTCCTTTTTTTCTTGCTGTTTTGGGTCACACCTGGCATTGCACAGGTGTTACTCTTGGCTCTGCACTCAGGAATCACTCCTGGCAGTGCTCAGGGGACCATATGGGATGCTGGGACTCGAACCCGGGTCGGCTGTGTGCAAGGCAAACGCCCTACCCGCTTTATCGCTCTAGCCCTCAGCCAGCACTCTTATGTCATTGAAAACTCCAAGTTGGGGAGAGGCTGACTGGAAAGAAACAGGGGACAGTCGCTCAATGGCAGCCTCTCCCAGACTGACCCATTTCTTCCTTTGTTTCCCCTCCTGGGATACCACAGACCTTGTCTATTTCTCAGAGCTGAAACTTTCTTTCACCAAAGAATTCTTCCCTTGCACTGTGCTTTGCCCTTGTTCCGGAAAATTCCTTTCGAGCTGACCTCCTGCAGACACACAGCTTGGAGTCCCTCTGGCTGATAGGTCATGTTCCCCTCATGCTTATCATTTGGGTTTTGTAGGTGTCCCCCCAACCTCCACACACCAATTTCTTCTCCTTTCCTCATTCCATTATGGATGCTGGGCTAATGGGTACTTGCCGGGTTGAAATCATGAGGAGGGAACCAGGGAGAGAAGAAGAGCCTCACCTCTGCCCTGAAGGTCTGGAGGGCGGGTGGGCAACTGCACTCTGATGCAGGGAGAGACTTGGGAAAGGGTGGCGAGGGCAGCTGTCAGGACACTGAGCCCCGTATCTCCATCCCCTTAGGGTCTGAGTGTGCCACCTCGTGCCAGGACCACAACAGCGAGTCCATCACCCTGCCTGTGAACATGACCGTGCGGGACGTCCCCCACTGGCTGAACCCCACCCGGGTGGAGGTGAGTGATGGGAATGTCCTCCATTTAAATCCTGATGACAACTGTAGAAATAAGAGTACTGATATCCTGAGATCCCTGGAATACCTGGGATAGGTATTCAGGTGGTTTAGAGTCTCTGCCTGTCTGTCCGAAAGGGTCTTACCCAAGGCGGGCTGCTATTGGCTGTCCTGTAGAAACTCTGAGGAGGCGGGGCCTTGCACACACCACAGCCCAGATTCCCATTTCCTTGGCTTCGCTTAGCTGACTACATGAAAACAAATACTGTGTGAGATGAGAATTAGAAAGGTCTAGTGTGCTTACCCCCAGGCTGAGCCCACAGCTTCATTTAAATTCCAGAAAGATTCCCGGATGCAGGTAGTATTGTGTGCATCTTACACCTGGGGACTCTGAACTCTGAGCAGAAAGGGCCCGAGGGGGGCTGAGTCCCAGTGCCGTGCCCAGGAAGCCAGACTGGCATGTGCCTGACCAGAAGACCAGAGAGACTCTGCCTGTCTCTTGGCAGCTGTAATCATTACCTTGCGTCCTGTGGGGTGGCCACGCCTACCTCCTTCAGGATATCACCCAATGAATCCAAGTAGGATCTCATTCACATCTTCCAAGCAGGCTGGGCACCTGCTCCTCCCCATGGAGATGGTGACAGAAGAGGAGGGTTGCAGAGGAGAGTCAGTTCTGTCTCTCAGGCCCAGGGAGCTGCTGCCTGACTGCCACAGATCACACTCCGGATAGCCAGGCAGAACCCAATACTGGGTGTACTGTTTCTCCAGTGAGTGGATGGTGAGGGCTGACTCAGCACTGGGCACACAGACCAGGCATAGGAGCGCCCCCTTGTCCCCCAGCGCCTAGTGTACCCCAGCCTCCTCCTCCCTTGCCATCTTCCTCTGTTCTCACTTGTCCTTTCTTCTGCCTCTGCTTTCCCTCCATCGCTGTCTTTCATCTCCCTCTCCCTCTCCACCCTCCCTCCCAATACCCCCCCACCTTCCCTCCACTCTCAGTCTCTCCGTTCTAACTCTCTTCTGCATCCAGAGACATCCCTGTCTTTCCACTCTTGCTCCTGCATCTGCTTGCTTCACTCAGACTGTATTTCACTTCTCCCAGCCTAGCGTGCCCACATCCTCTCAGTGTGCTGCATGATTGCGAATTCTTTGCACCCAGGGGCACGGATAGAGCCAACATCGCAAGGAAGTTAGAGCTCCCAGGTACAAGACTCCTCTGGTTGCACAGATGGAGAAACCAAGGCAGATGGAGAGTCAGACAGGGAGAGCACAAAGGAAGCAGAGCCGGAGCAGTGAGCTCCCCTTCCATGGCCAGACTCCCCACCTTTTCCACTCCCCCAATTCCAACAGACCCAAAGTCAGTGGGCTTACACTCCCTCCCTAGCAGACACAGGAGCCCTCACTCAGGCAGTTTTGGAGGTCACCGGGGCCTGGAACCCCAACCAGCTCCCTCCTACCCCACCTCCACTCAGGCCTTTCCCGTGTCCCTTTCACCCCCAGCCCCGCCCTCCCTCTGTGAGCCCGAGCACCAGAGAGTTCGGTTATAATTCACTGTGAAATAAATCCAGAGGTTTGAAAGCCTGCAAGCCACTCCTCCCTCCCCAGTCGCCCACCCGCTGCCTGCACACCCCAGCCCCCACCCAGTTACCCCGGTCTGCCTTTATTGATGCCGGTCTACCAAGAGAGCTGTAACGAGGTTCAGACCTCCACTGGTCTCGGGAGGCCTCATTATCCAGGAGGAAAAAAATGTGGTAGGAAAGGGGAGGAGGACAGAGGGCAGAGATTGATGATTTCCAGGAATAAGGCAGAAAGGCTGGCCTCTGCTGCACCCTTGCCCCCCGTATGGTGAAAGCTACAGGAGTGGCTGCTGGGGCAGGCGCAGAGGGTCCGCCTCCAGCATCTGTGCAGAGAGGCAATGAGACAAAGCTCTGCTCTTGTGCCCTTGTCCCCAAGGTAAGAAGGTGAGAAGCAGGACTGCCAGTTAACAGGTGCAGGCACAGGACCAAGTTTTTTTTTATCCTTAATTTGTGCACACATGTGTGTGCATGCACACACACATCCACACACATCCATAGACACACACTCTCTCGCACACACACTCTATCACACACATAGACTCTCTCTCTCTCTCTCTCTCTCTCTCTCACACACACACACACACACACACACACACACTGATGAGGTAGGGAGCTCATCTCTTCATTATTTCTCAGTGGAGGAAAAGGCACCTCAGGAAAGGTAGGTACTGGCTTAAGAGAATATGAGGAGAGTCCCAAGCCAGTCTAAAGTTGCAACTTACTCCTTTCTCTGGCTATCCAGGCAATTACTGTTGTCTTTTGCATTTTGAAGATAAAATGTTTCCTGGTGGTTTACCAGGGATATGTTGGCAAATGCTTCCCAACTGGCTCCGCACTAGAACAGCCTCGACTTCGTAGCCTCTGCCAATTACTGTGGTGTAAATATTGCTGCCATGGTAGCTGTTGCCTTTCCCCTGTTGCACACAGAGTTGGGAACAAATGTTGCCTCTCATGAGCCCATGTGAGCTCACAGCAGTCTCCTCACTCATGTTTGGCTTGGGAGAGGCTCTTTTTTAAGAAGACAATGATGAGTACTTAGGAAAGTGAAATATTAACATTGAACTCAGGTGTCCTGATTAGTGCAATGCCCATTAGAACAGTGGGCCTTATAGATGGCCGTGCACATCCAATTTATCAGGGAGTGAATACCCAGATATTCAGTTTTTGCTGTTGTTGATCAAGGTTTAAGTCCAAGCCTGGGTACTTTCTTAATGTATGTCTTTGGTCAAATTTTATTAATATTTAGGTCACATTTTCCTCATCTGTGAAACGAGAGCTAGATCTAGATGATATAGTGTTAGAAACACTTATGGAATAGGATAAATAGCATAAAATGGGGAAAGCAGGCCAAGAATCTCACTTCACGTATTAAATGGCTAGTCTAATAGTAGCAGTAGTAGTAGTAATAGTAGTAGTTATAGTGATGGTAGTAGTAATAGACCACAATAGTACTGCTGATAGTAGTAGTTCATTAGTGATTATAGTAATACCAGTAGCATTGGCAGTGATACCGATAGTCATAATGCTAGTACCATTTGTGATAGTGGTAGTAAAATAGTGATGTTGGTATTAATAGTGGTTGTGGTATTAGTACTTAATATAATATTTTAAAGGAAAAGACTGAAAGCAAAACAGAACAAACATTTCTTTGCCTGTACCCAACTTAAAAAATGAGAATTTAGAACTACAACTGAGTGTGTGTTTTATTCTTATTGAGATATAACTTGCATACAAATCTTAAGCTCAAAGCTTTCTGCATTTTTGTGTTTTTGTTCACTCATGAAACCTATTTGGATCATTCCAACTCCCAGATAATTCTCCCCTCCCCCAGCCACCAAGGTAATTTTTATTGGTTTTCTTGCAACCACAGTTCATGTGTCTGATGAAATTATTTTGCAAAAATATTTTATACTTTCATAAAAAAACTCAGTATGTCCCTTTAGTTTAAATTGTCCTCTTTTGGGGGGACAGGTACAATAGAACAGTGGGTAGGGCCAATCCTGGTTTGATACTTGGCATTTTATATGGTTCCCTGAGCACCACCAGGAGCAATTGCTAAGCACAGAGTCAGGAGTAACCCCTGACCACTGCCAGGTGTGGCCCCAAAGCAAAAAAACAAAAATTCTCCTTAGTTTTTATGCCAGCCAAACATTTTTTTTATTGTTTATTTTATTTATTTATTTATTTTTTTTATCATTTTTTTTTATTAGTGAAACACCATGAAGTACACTTATAGACTTATAAATTTTTGTGCTTGGGTTTCAGTTATACAATGATCAAGTACCCATCCCTCCACCAGTGCCCATCCTCCCCCACCACGGGTCCTAGCATCCCGCCCACCCCCCATCCCTCCTCCCCCCCGTCCCACCCTGCCGCTGTGGCAGGGCATTCCCCCCTGTTCTCTCTCTCTTCTTTTGGGTACTGTGTTTTGCCAGAGAGGCATTGAGTGGCAATCATGTTTGGTCTATAGACCACTTTTAGCATGACTCTCCCACCCTGGGAGGGTCTTCACAACACCCTTTATTTGGTGCTCTCTTCTCTATCTGAGCTTCCTTCTCACCTAGAACGTGTGTAGCCAAACATTTTTGAAAGAGACTGTGATACACAGAAATCTTGCCCTGATGTATTTAATGAGATAACACAAACCCAATGATAGATGGACAAGCCCCTCTGGTTCTGTGTTGGAGAGATTGCAAGGAAGGATGGAGACCATAATGGACTGTGAAAACCGCAATTTCCAAAAGGGACTGCTCTAGCTGAGCTCATTGATGTGGAGTGATACTCACAACCTGTGTGTCCAGAACATCCATGGTTCTCTTGAGTAAAAAAAAATACGGAGTTTTAAAATCATGAAATCTCTCCCTTGTAAATATGTGTTTACTCACAGGAGTCTTATTGATCAAGAGGGGGCAATCCAGGAGAAAAAATGATTTCTTTTGGAAATCTTCAGGAAGGGTATCAGATTTCTGGCTCAGGAAGAGAAAACTTTTCAGGACTTCTGCTCTGCTGGAAACTGTCTTCTCTGTGCAGGATATTTTAGATATTCTGTCCCTCCTCTATGGGCCAAAGCTACTCGACCATTCTCATTTCTCTTCTGTCAAAATAATAATCTATTTTGTATCATGGCTTCAAAATACAAATTAGAAGAATTTGAAGGACAGTCTGGCATCTAAAATACAGTCACTGCTATCAGTCAGACACAAGTTTAATTCCTGTCATGACTGAGCTTATCTAAATTCTTTCTGCCTCAGTTTTCTTTGGTATAAACAAAAGTCAAAAATAGGTCCTCTTGGGGCCAGAGTGAATATGAGTATAGGGCATTTCCCATATGGTCAGCACCACCAGGAGTAATTCCTGAGTGCAGAGCCAGGAATTATTTCCTTAGCATTGTCAAGTATGACCCAAAAAAATTGAAAATAGGTCCTCTTCCATAGTTATGGAATGAAATGATATGAAAGCATTAATCACAGAGCTTGGAGAACAATATTTGTTTAAGAGAAAGTTCATGTTGACCAAGATGGGGATAATCATAATGACAGTGGTTGGTGGCAGTGATGGTGTGAATGGTGGGAATACAGATGCTGATGGTGGTAGTGATGGTGATGGTGTTACGGATTAGGATTATAATAATGATGGTGACAGTGATCAGATCATGATTTGCTGATGGAACCAATGTTGTGGTCTTTGCAGTCAGGAAAATTACTATCTGTTCTTCTTATATATAGAGTCAGGCAATTAAAGCTGTCTTATAAAACCTGATCTGAAAGGACTTAGAGGTCTCACTGTTAAAGGTCTCACTGGCATCAGTAGGAACAGGCTGACATTTGGGGGGCTCCATCTGAGATCTCCCAACTTGTGGTATAAACAGCCTGTGCTTTCCTTCATCTCCTGCTGCCTATCCCCTTTCCCAGCTTTCTTCACAGACAGAGCGGCCCTGTAGTGAGACACATGGGGCATGCAGCCCTGAGGAATAGTGGAAAATCCAAAAACCTTGGAAAGATAAATAGGCTCATGCAGATAGTATAAAAGTCCTTTTTCTGAACTCACGTCAGGTAAACCTCAACTGACAGAACTTGTACAACCACACCAAGTCACTCCTCCACATGGATTAAATTAGCTCTCAAATAAACAGGGGGAGGGATGGGCATCAAGTCCCAAGTGGATCCTAATGCTGCTGTTTTCTACTTCTTGAGCCATTACCACATACCCCTCGAATAGCCCTGAAATTTGGCTGGGAACTGACTCTCAGACCCAAAGATGAAAGTTTTCCAGAGAATGAAAGCAGGCAGTTCTCACCAGTTCTTGGCCCCATGACCAAGAAGCTGAGGACACAAAAGTAACAGAGCTGGAAGGATCAAATACTGGAATTACATGTGTATTTGTTTGCTCCTGAGAGCAGTGTCCCAAACACAGGCACTTTCCCCAAGAAACTTAAGAATTTGGGCTGTTAGTTAACCATATCTACTTCATTTCTCTCAATATATCATCATAAAAAGTTTGTGACACCTTGCGTACCCATTTCACAGATGGACGAACCTGCTGTAAAATTTAAGGCACAATTTGAAACCCCATTTGACACCTTAATGCCAAGTTTGTTTTCCATAGTATCACTTTGAATATATATATATATATATATATATATATAGAGAGAGAGAGAGAGAGAGAGAGAGTAGGCTGACACACTGTCAATAAAGTCAGTAGGGGGGCTGGAGTGATAGCACAGCGGGTAGGGCATTTACCTTGCATGCCGCCAACCCAGGTTCGATTTCTAGCATTCCATATGGTCCTCTGAGCATGGCCAGGAGTAATCCTGAGTGCAGAGCTAGGAGTAACCCCTGTGCATTGCCAGGTGTGACCCAAAAAAGAAAAAAAGTCAATAGGAAGCTAAGTAATAGATTTCACATTACAAGACTGTTTGACAGGTCTTCAAATATTTGTCCATGATCTTTAATTAAATTCTGTGTACATAAAAATTGTCCCTTTAAAATAGACTCTAGGCTAACTTATTAGGAATGCCCTTCTGATGCTCTAAAAGAAGAAAAGAAAAATAAAGAAAACATTTCCCATTGCTAAAACTTTCTCTAGCTTGGTATGCCTAAATTTATTTCTATCGTAAATATTCACTGACCATCCTTCATAGACCAGACAGTTCCAGGTATGAAACAGTCAGAGATACTATGGAATAGAGAACGAAGGTGTTCAACCCAGACTCAGCCAGATCTTGGAATCATGTGATTCTTTTTGGGCCAAGTTCATAAAGAAACCTAATTACAGTTTGGCTCCCATATAGGTCTGCCCAGGGAAAGAATAGGATGGTGATATGGGTTTTCATAATCTGACTCATATGACTGTTTATTTCTTAATTAAAATTAATCAACTTGAAGAACATGCCCTGATCATAGAGACTTCCATGACTAATGTCTGACAGTTCCCATGGAAAAATCTAGGCATTTGCCTCTAGCACATTTTTACTTTATTTTTTAAAGAAATCCTTGTAAAATGGCATGAAAAGTTGGGCTTCTTTGACAAAATTGAGAAAGGAAAACCAAGACCAATATGTTAGCCCTAACCCTCATGTTATCTGTATTTTTCCAGTTTCATTTTTTTCTTTATTTGCCTACTTTAAGTATTATCATTCTATTGTACATTATGTTTGTCTTTTTATTTGTTTGTATGTGGGCTACACCTGGATGTGCTCAAGGCTTACCCCTTGCTCTGCACTCAGGGATCACTCCTGGTGGGCTCTGGGGACCAGCCATTAAACCTGGGTCAGTCGCATGCAAAGCAACTAATCCACTGTACTATCTCTCCAGCTCTTGTTAAGAGTTGTTTTGAATAAATTTCAAAACAATTTCTTGGTTACAAATCCTAGTTTATCTGCTTACCAGCTATTGGACTTAGGAGATTTATTTTACTTATGATACAATATTCATTTCCACCTCTTTGGTGAAGAGAAAAAAAAGATAGTGCATAAAGCACTTAGCATCATGAATGCACTCAACGTACTCTAGATGTCATTGTAATTATTATTATTAAAGGAAGCGCAAAATAAATGCAGATATGCATACGTTAACTCTGCAGGTGCTCCAAGGAATGAAATGTGCTCCTACAGTGATCTGGGTACAAGTAGTCCTTTGTACTGGCTTTGGAAAACCCTATCCTACAACATTCTACCATCTTCCTTCTACAGGCACACACATGCATGCACACACATATGTGCACATACATGTATAGCTACACCTGCACAAACATATACATATGGACACAGCCACACATTTGTCATATGCATACATCAACATGTGTTCACATGTAGACTGTGATAACACATGTAGACAGGTAAATCTTATGTTCACTCATACACAATTCACCTACACACATCCAGATATAATACACATACACAAAAACACACATTAAACCCTTCCTTTTCCTCCCGCCTCATCCATTGAGAAAACATAATTTTCTGAAAGGTCTTTTTGATCAAGTTTCCATCCTTTACTTCTCTTCAACCATTATCCCTGCCAGGGAAGTACAGACTAATGACACCTACAGTGAACACAAATATTATTTTAGTCTTATGGCTCCTGTTATTTTAAGTACCTGTACAAAATTTTCAGTATAAAATGCCAGGGTGAGGTCAAGACTTGGATGATCCAAGAAGAGGTGGGGTGGTTAAATGTTTTGTCAACAAAAGGATGGCTTCTTTCCACCTCCAATCCCATGTAACCCCCCCTCCCTCCATTTCTCTGCAGAAAATTGTCTGTACAGCTGGTCTCAAGTGGTATCCTCATCCTTCTCTCATCCACTGTGTCAAAGGCTGTGAGGTGAGTTCTTTGAAATGATCCTTTTAATAATATTATTATCTGATTACTGTTTACTGTATTTATCAAGTGCTGCAAATATCCCTTTAACAGACTTCTTGGATAGAAATTAGCAAGCCTGTTTTACACATCATGGAGTGAAGGTAGAGATATCAACAAACTTGCTCTACAAAAACATTTAATGAGATGCCACATTGGGATTTCAAGCCAGGCTTTTCTGGCTTCAAAGTTTGTGTTCAACACACTATTTCATATATATGGAAGAGGGGAACAAAGCCATATTGATTAAACATCTATAATATTCCATGTATTTTACAAATATTATCACAGTTAACATTTGCAGAACTATATTTTTAAATTCCTACTTTACTAAAGACTGTCAAATTGTATGCTACATATTTCTTCATCATTCACTTGATCCTCAACCTGAGTGATAATATGGATGCCTTTACACAACCCTTAGGCTACATAATTATTTGATGCTCTCTCTCCTTGAAGTCCTCTGTGGAATCATTGTTGGCCATTTCTTGGAATTTGGCATTAAAGAAATCATCTCTGTGTATATTTGGTTGGGGAGCAGTATGGTATGTTGATGGTCCCTGTGCTCTCAAAGAGATTCTGTCCCTGGAGCTAAGATATTTCTGTAGACCCATCTGCCCTCATGTTTTTCAACTAGCTCTGGGAAAGTATCCCCAAATCCCAGGCATCCAGGTGAATGTTCAGAAATCTGTGATACCTATTGAGCCTAGTCAGGAAAATGTCAATAGGAAGAGTTGGTTGTGCTCTAGAAACTATTCTAACACACAAATCAGAAATACGCTTTGATTACAATAAAAATCTGACCTTTCATTTAAAGATGTGGAACCTAAGATGTCACAGTAGCCACGTCTAAAATATTTTTGAATCACTGTGAGATACACCCTTACAAAGCTGTTCATGATGAAGTTTCAGTAATTAGTGTTCCAACACCCATCCTTCCACCAGGGTACCTTTTCCAACACCAGTGTCCCCAGTTTCCCTCCCAGTTTCAAAGCTGTAAGGACTTAGTGTGTTCTAACCCTGTTCATTTGTGAGAGGATTTGATCATTACTGAAAAGTGGGGGTCTATGCACAGCATAATAGTGACAGAATCAAAATCTCAGACTTACTAAATCGTCTTTACTCTGAGATTTGTGCTTTTTCTATTCCACAAGGGCACCTCCTGCCATCCAATACAGAGCAAGTATCCCAAGAGAGTGCCTGGGTCTTGCATTTCTTTATGTGTATTGGTTAGAGACCCACACAGGCATCTTCTCACTATAGACTAAGAACTTCCTTTCTCCCAAGATTCAGGCATAAATTCTGTAGCTGCTGCTACATTCCATTGTTCTGGATCAACCCAGCATTTCAGAGCTTTGGTTACCTGGACCATCATTCTGCTGAGTGAGCAGTCTAGGTAATCTGTGTGACAGCAGAATTTGATCCTTCCTTTGACTCAGCAATGGGGCTTGAGAGACCCTCACCTGTCAGGCTCTGAGCCCTGCTAATGATTCTTATCACTTGCCCTTGTAGGTGCCCCCTCATCTCCTTTCATTCGTAACTTAGAGCCTGTATATTATCTCTTATCTGGGGCTGGAAAGTGTACTTAGGTACAGATGCTGAGTTCAGGGAGGAGCCATCAAGTGGGGATGTCTCAAATAGCCCAAATTCAGAAAGGGAACAACAAACCCCTGTCCTCTCACTCAAGCCTTGATCCAAAGTGATCATTCAATTATGCACTTATCCTCAAGTGCCCATCATGTGCCTGGCACTACTCTACGGTATAAGAATCTATGAAATTTTTTTGTGGACATGCTAATCATACTGTCCCCCTCTCCATGGTGTTATCTTTTTGTGCCTTATCCACCCACCTATCCATTTATATATCCATCCATTATCTATCATCAATTCATCTATTTATCAACATCATCTATTTTAAATTCACCCATCATTTTAATAAATAAGCTTTCATGTGTAAAGGGTTTTGGGGTTGTGTGTTTGTTTGGGTTTTGGTGTTTTTGGTATTACCCAACAATGCTCAGGTGTTACTTCTGACTCTACTCAGGAATTACTCCTGGTGGTGCTCAGGGGTGGGATGGGTGAGTGGATGGGCATATGGGATGCTGGGGATCAAACCCAGGTCAACTGCATGCAAGGCAGTCTTCCCTATTTGCTATCCTATTGCTTTGGCCATAAGGATGTGTGCATAATGTATGTATGTATGTATGTATATATATATATGTGCATGTGTGTGTATGCACAAACATACACATATGTATATACATATATGTATAAAGTTAATATTTCTAGGCATTTTACTATGAAATCTAGTTTATACAATGAATGACACAAATTTCTCCATCTCTCACAGTATAGTAAAGGAGATAGATAATTAAAGAGAGAATTCTAAAACTACCAGTTACCACCAAAGCAGCTACAAGAATATGAAGATACACAATATCCTGGGAGTACTAGGGAAGCCATTTTTGGAGGGTTGACATCAGAGTTAAATCTTAAAGGATGAATTATTTGCCTGAACACATTATTCATAGGAGCAGCAGAAGAAATATGAGCAATAGGAGAAATCTCTAAGTAGCAGAGCTTTTCGCATCTCTCTAGAAATTCTCCACCCCCATCTAATTAACTTTTACTCTTTTTGTGATCTCAGCTGAAACATCATTTCCTCAGGGACACCTTTATGGAGTTTCTGATTAGGTCAAATCCTCCTAATCTTTACTCTAACAGCATCAGTACTTTCTTTCATGGCTTTTTACTAGAGTTGGGCTAATTAGATGTGTGATTATTTGATCAAAGTTGGCTTCCACACTACAGTATAGTGTCTACACGAGTAGGAGTTCTATCTATATTAACTAGCTGTTACAACATTTCTAACACAATGTGGTACACATAGTAACAATTCAATAAAACAGAATTAAATAGAAGATGGATGGGTAAAAGATGGTGAGACTAATGCATGAATGTATGGATGACTGCTGGATTTGGCTTTGGGAAAGGGCACTTTGAGGAGAATAGATGGTGATATGTCTAGATAATATTTTGAGGGGCCAAATTAAAAAGACCCATTGCCATCTACTTTTTCTCTTCCCCAGTCACTCCTTTTCCAAGGCAATTCTTATTATTCAAAGGAAAGGAAACATGTTTCCTTCATTACTCTGATTAAACACAATATGAGAAAGAACATGAGAAACAGAATCTTCAGGCACCAACCAAAAAGGAGTCAAAGATTGCTCTGTGCTTCTCAGCCCTGATAATGCAAATGTGATAATGTGTTAGTTGTTGGTCCAACAGCAGAGTCAAGCTTGCTGTTTCTACCAGTGCAGTAGCATAATCCACCCTGAGCATGTCTCTTGCTTGGTTTTGGTTGTCTTGTTAAAATGTAAGATCTAGGGGGCTGAAGCGATAGGACAGCGGGTAGGGTGTTTGCTTGCATGCGGCCGACCTGAGTTTGATTCCCAGCATCTCATATGGTCCCCTGAGCACCACCAGGAGTAATTCCTTAGTGCAGAGTCAGGAATAACTCTTGTGCATTTCCAGGTGTGAGACACAAAAAGCAAAAAATCCTTATTGAGTAATGAAAAGAAATCAAACGTAGTCAATCTCACAGATTTGGGATTTTAGTCAGAGATGCTAAGGCCATGGATGCTACATAGAATGGATTTTGCATGTGAGCTTGGCTGAATATTAGGTAGTGGTATATTTTTCCCATCTATTGAGCATGAGAGACCTCAACCCACACTTTGATCAATTATTTTTTACTTTCATCTACTTTTCACACTTAATGGCTTCACGGTACTTCTTTGATAGGGGTTATGGGAATATATTCTTTGCTTTGTGAAATTAGTGCAGTCACTCTGCTTCTCTTTGACTCCTGTGGTCTTAGGGCCCAGAAAAGAAAAGCCAGTGGAGTAAAATCACACATAACTACAACAATGGCTAAAGTTTGGAAGTCTTAAAGTCAGGTTTTCTAATCCCACCCCACCCTATAATTACCCTTTCACAGACGCCCAATAATCCACTTCTAAACATCTCTAAGGACTAATGTTGTATCAAGATTTAAACTAGGTGGTTAAGAAACTCAGATAAACTGGATATTGCCCAGTGCTGGAGGAGTTCCTGTCTAGTGTCAGCTACAAGTACACAAACAGACCACAGAAGACAAGGTGCTTAGTGCTTAAATGGGGAATTACAAGTCCCAGATGGGTTACAGACATACCTGGACTTTCTCCTAAGACAGATCTGGGGAAAGATCGGAATTTACTTCATTCCTCCATCTTTTCTACCACTTTAATGTATTGAGTAGTTGGAGGAACACAAGCTGTAGCACTAGCTATACCTTAGATTAGTGAAGGAAAAAATAAATTAAAATTAGTCTCTGCCAGTGTGACCTAGGCTGAATTCCTTTCCTACTCTAAGTTTCAGAGTCTTCTCCTATGCAGTGAGAACCACAATGCTCTCATGTATTGGGAGAAATTAAAGCTGAAGAATGTAACACAGAGTTTATCAATACCCCAGTTAGGGACCCAGGAGCCAACAACCATCCAAAGACTGTTGTGCTAGTTCCTACAAGTGCTTGCATTTTATCTTTACAGTCCATGCGTACTTTATGTTCTTAATCTAAATGCATATATTTTATTATAAACATGTTTTAATTTCTGCTACTGGAAAAAGTCCATTAAAAGGGCACAGATAAGTTCCTTTAAAAATGAGATAAAGAGGGCCTTGAGTTCACACCTGGTGGTGCTCAGGAGTTACAACTTCTAACTCTACTTCAGAGATCACTTCTGGCATTATGTGAGTAACCATATGCATTGAGGTGATCAAACTGGGGTTGGCAGTGTGCAAGAAAAGCACATTAACTCCTGTACTGTCTCTCTGGCTCAATATTCATATCATTGTTTTGAGTAAGATGAGCCCTCTGCTTCAAGATATAAGTGGTTATGTTTTTATTCATCTCTGTATACCTCAAAATACAACAGTGTATCTGTCTCCTAGCGTACGCACGTTTTGTGAAGAAACTTTTGGTTAGATATGAGTCTTTATAAGTGGTAAAGTGTTCATTTGTCCAAACTGAGAATGGGCCTGGAAACCAGGCGTATTAACTGTACAGGTTGGAAGGAAATTACAAATAGTTGATCTGTGGCAAGGGTCATTCCCCACTAACTTCAGCGGGTTAACAAGATCTTCTTTCCATCCTTTATCCTCTTTTCTAGCCCTTCATGGGAGACAATTACTGTGATGCCATCAACAACCGAGCCTTCTGCAACTACGATGGTGGGGATTGCTGCGCCTCAACAGTCAAGACCAAAAAGGTATGCCAAGGCATCCCCTTCTGCTATCCTGTCCTGTCCTCCTATCCAGCTTTTTTGGTCAAAATAACTGCTGTGTTCTAGATGACCCGAGGTCATTTTTGTATGAGCATTCACCTACAAGTTTTATTTATTGCATGTGTTATATATATATATATAATATATATATTATTCATTTAGCTGGTAATTGAGATCAACACATGTGCTAGATTAAGTGTAGCAATTCAAGGATAAGCTTTGCAATTGTGGTCCCCTTTTATGTTTAAATGTGCGAAATTTAACAAGTGAAAGTGTAATACTTATCTTTAGAAGGGAAGAGCAAGGTACCAAGAAGGCTCAGGCAACAAGACATATTTTGAAGAAGGATCACATCTCTGTTGACACTTGGGGAAGGGGGATGTGACCTAGAAAAGAGCGTCTCAGATAGATGTACAAAATCCTAGGGAGAAGTGTGTATTGAAAGATCCATACATAAAGTCTAATGACTTTCTATTGTTTTATAGCATTTTTTTTTTTTTTGGTTTTCAGACCTGTAGAATTGGGGCAAGTGGTCTTGTGGTGATTTCCTTCTTTTGTGTATTAAGATGCAGCAGGACTAATTCAATTGTGTAGAGTAGAACTAGAACCTTAGATTCAATGTTTTATCAGCTACCTACAGTTTCCTCCTGATGAAAGTTGGAATGAGAAAATGAAGTCCTAAATGAGTGTTGAGAGGGAGATGGTCAGTGTGAATAGCCTAAGTTGAAAATGTTCTTGTGATGAATACAATTTCACTTTTTGTACTTGTCTTCCTCCTGAGATGTACCATCATTTGATCAAACATCTCATTTTAAAGGAGAACTATGTTCCAAAGACTGGAAGGCAAAGAATCATAATTTTAAAAGGATGGTTCCTCTAAAATATCTTTTCACTTCATTCATGAGGACTGTTCGTGCCCTAAAGGAGAATCATTTGCCAAAGACATGGTGTGAATTGTAGAAACAAAACAAGTTCCAGCTTCCTACCTGAGTCTCTTCCCACACTCCTTTGCAGTTTGCTTCGGGGGCACACCAAGCAGTTTTCAGGGCTTACTCCTGGTTGGATGCTCAGATCATATGTGGTGCCAGTGATTGAGCTGAGCATTGCTGTGTGTAAGGCAAACACCTTAACTACTATAGTATCTTTTCCCACTCCCCCCAGTTCCTTTCTATTGCAATATTCATGTGATAAATTGTGCCTTCATGAGGTAATTTGTTTCTTCACAAAATATGCTTTGACCCTAGAAATACAGGGGCAAAAAAGGAAAGACCAAGTAATAAACTCAAATCAAGGTATCAGGGGATTGTTTATCATTGGGTCTATAATTTAGGACGCTGGGGTACTTGGGGATCAGTCAGTCTTCTATAGCAATCACTGTGAGCTTGCCTCAGCCCACTTCATTTAAAAAATAATAAACACTGAAGTTGTGCTCAAGTGTAAGAAAATAAAATTCATGTTCCATTAGTGAATTTATTATCTTTCTTAATTATGAAACACTACATATTTTGCTTATTGTAAAGTCCAGAAACTGGCTATGCTGTAACCCAAAAGCAACCACTGTTTTTCTTCTGGGATATTTTATTCTGTGTAAATAAGTTTGTGGGTATTTGTGTCTATGTCTATATCATTGCATTTCCAGTTTGGGACCTTGATTTTTTTCTACTGAGCACAGAAATACTTGCAAATGGGAATTCTCTGATATCAGTAATGAACTTGCCAGCTGATTTTTTTTTTTTTGCTGCTTTACTATGTAGTAGATGGTAGTGATACACCACTATATACTGTATACCTAACAATTCACCTTTGACATTTATATTTAAGTTTGGGTAATTTCAAATTTCTTGCAATGATGAATAATGACGCTCATGAACATTTGTGCTCAGATATTTTTATAGACTAATCTTTTCCGATTGAGTCTTAGACTTGAAATTGCTAGCATAAAAGGGGTAAGTATTATAAACGCTGTTTATTACCAAATGACCAAATGAATACAGGGTACACTGGCATCTGTTTTATGCCATTGGAGGCAGCCATTCCTACACATCAATAGACAGAGAAGTTTGTGCTTTAAATAGAAGCTTACATAAAATATGACATGCTAATCATTGACTACATTGGGCATTGAGACATATTTTCTACCAATTATAATTAATATGCTAACATAGAAAACAATAAAACTGATTTTTTTTTTTTGCTTTTTGGGTCACACCCAGTGATGCTCAGGGGTTACTCCTGGCTCTGAACTCAGGAATTACTCCTGGTGGTGCTTGGGGGACCATATGGAATGCTGGGAATTGAGCACAGGTTGGCCATGTGCAAGGCTATGCTATCACTCCAGCCCCCAAACTGATTAATTTTTATTGGGAAACTTCCTTGAGTAGATTGAGTTTTCTATTGAGTTTATGGTAGGAAACAAAATCTTGAAGCTGACTTTTAGATGATGACTGCAAATTACTGCAGCCGCTTGACCTTAAAATGCTTATACCTTTTGTCTTCATCACTTGCATTTACTCATACGTACATGGAGGTGTATATGTTTTTGTATTGTACACATACATCCATGCAAAAAAGACCAACTTTTTCAATGTCTGTCCTGGGTTCAGGGACAGATTACAGGGTCCTGAGAAGAGCACCAGTTCTTTAGGCAGGATGCCCAAGGTCAGTTCTCTTGAGGGTCCCCAAAGTCAGTCTTTGCAGGCTCCTCAAGGTTAGATCCCTGCAGGGATCCCAGGTCAATTTTTTTGCTTGGATCTCAGAGTCATTTCCCTCCTTTTTCTTTCCACCTATACACATAGTGTCATTTAGACTCTCTATTAAATACTTCCCTTCTTTCACTTTGACATCTTGTATCATGCTGCCAGTCAAGGTTGCGGTTTGTAAGTGGTGGCATGCATTTCCTGGGAAAGGGTGCATATTCACAGAGCACCTTTCTAGAGTCAGCCCAGGACCAGGCTGTGTACTGGTGGCAGCATACAGACATTCACATTGCTGCTCTACTGGAGCTCATAATCTGTTGGTGAAGCAGACATGAGCTAGACAAAGTTCTGCATTCCATTCCCTGTGTGGGAGGATCACTGAGGGCAGGACTGATCTGCATAGAATCTTATGCAAAATAGTGTGAAGGTCAGAGACAGTATCTTCAAGAAAGGAAGCATTGACACAGACCTGAGGAGTGAGTGGTTATCCTGGGACAGGACGATTAGATGGAGAATGGAGAGTTGTTCCAACTGTGTGTGAATTTGAGGTAAAGCAGAGAGATGAAAGGTGTCACAAATGTGCACAGAGCTTTGCCAAAGTGAATAGCTGCTCATAGGTATTGGGGGGCAGGGAGTTTTCTTCCGGCTCCAGAGTCCCAGAGGCCTGACTTGTGGAGAAGAAAGGGGTCTCACATCTTTCTACCATTTAAGTTTCAAAGTTTCACTTTTAAAAGTCTGGCTCCAACCTTTATTCTCTTTCTTGCAAACACCAAAAACCCCTGCATCAGGATGCTTTTTAGAGATGCTCTGTGAAGAGAATAGTTACACAAAATACCTCTACAGAGACTGCCACATAGGTCTGACATTCCTCCAAAGCCCTGGCCATCCTCATCTTTTTGAAACCTTGTGTTAGTCCCAACAGTGACCATAAATCTTGTTGCACACATGAATTCTTATGGAACTCGGTTGACTTCACATAACTGCAAATGCTTGCCAAGTCCCAAATTTAAACACAGTTCTATCTACTTCACATGCTCTGGTCCTTGGCTGACATATGGTTGAATTTCTAGACAGGGGAGCAGGTAGAGAATCCTATCTGGTCCTCAGTGCCTCCAGAGATTATGACCCCAGATCACAGATTGTGATCCATTTCCTTGGAAAAGAAGAAACCACACTTTCCAGCAACAAAGACAGGGTAAAGGTAACTGAGGTGTGTAGCCTTTATAGTCATCCCAGAAACCCTGCCAGAATTTGCAAAGAACACCCTGGTTTCTTTATTTCTCCCTTGCCTTCTTCCCTTCCCTTCTTCCCTTCCCTTCCCTTCCCTTCCCTTCCCTTCCCTTCCCTTCCCTTCCCTTCCCTTCCCTTCCCTTCCCTTCCCTTCCCTTCCCTCCCCTTCCCTCCCCTCCCCTCCCCTTCCCTCCCCTCCCCCTCCCCTCCCCCTCCCCTCCCCCTTCCCCTCCCCCTCCCCCTTCCCCTTCCTCTTCCCCTTCCCCTTCCCCTTCCCCTCCCCTCCCCTTCCCCTCTCCTTCCATTTATTTTCTTTCCTCTTTTGGAGGGGGGAGGGGCTTTGGCAACACGTGGTCATGCTCAGGGGTTACTCCTGGCTCTGCACTCAGAAATTACTCCTGGCTGTGGCCAGAGAACCCAAAGGGCTTCCACAGATCAAACCCAGGTCAGCCACATGTAAGGCAAGCACTCTACCAGCTGTACTCTCTCTCTGGCACAGAACACCTTGATTTCTGCTCACTGCTTCCAAAATGGGTAGCTTCTTAGGAGAAGTGGAGTTACCTTCCTTCCTCTCATCTTTTATCTGCTACCCCTGTTCAGTTTCCACTTCTGCCTTGAAATCAGTCCTGCATCATGGCAAGTTCCCAGCCTGTGAGTATGGAGTCTGACACTCAAGAACTCATAGATGGGGAGGTTTACTTCATGACAGTAATCCCATTATCTGAGCATTTACTGTGTCCTTGCTCTAGATGGGAATCTTTGTATACCTGAGCTCTCTCAGACCACCACCAGGGCAGGGAATTGATGCTTAGAGAGACAAAATCATTGGTTCAAGAGTTGGGTGTAGGATAAAGAATTTTCTGATTCCATTACAATCATATTAGCTACTGTTTATCAAGAGTATAACTCTTTGTGAAATGGTGTACACTGCATTTCCATGTCTCATTTCTCTTAATAAGCACGGTGCCTCTGTGCAGGTTTTGCCCATTCATCCTCACTCTATAAGCACTGCAGCAAGTCTCAGAAGGGCCTAGGGGACACTGACAGTACATGGTAGAG